GAAAATTAAAATATTTTATTGTGTAAACAAAAACAATATTCCAAAATATCTCGAATTATGGTACTACGTGTGTCTTAATTCTACAGTAATTTACCGCATGATCAATTCGAATAGGTGGAGAAATTAAATAATATCAGTCAATTGCGGTAGGGAATCAGCTTGAGCAGGTTCGGATGAGCTCCCAAAAACGATAACACATAGCAGCGCTATGTCAATAGCAAACGCAGACGAAGTTTTATGATACAAAAAACATCAACAAAATTATATTATTACAAATATAATAACACAATCATGGAATTTTGTATTATTATTGTATATTTATATACTTCAAACGAATTATCTCGGTCTGTGTTGTTCATCATCAAAAACTGCAGCTGCGCGCTTCACTTCATAATCGCCCAAGGCTTCCTGAGCTTAAGTCAATAAATATCAGAAGTCTACGAACCCCACTTTATTGGCCACTACCGTGTGTAATTAATCTGATCGCAACTCCGTTAGACGGATGCAGGTTTACATAAAAACCGCTGAAGAAAGGGCAGGAATCCAATGAAACGTCCGGTCAAATTTTCAACGAAAAATCAGGGACAATCCCTGCCCCTTTCCCTCTCTCGTTTTCGAGGATTACTTAGAAGCAAGTTGGTGGTGAGTTTGACCCCCTGGCATATGCTTGCATCAATTTACCATCGAAACGAATCGTAGAGAGACTGACTTTTTTTGTTGGCCGAGGTGCGCTTTCAAACTGTGGCATGACAGAAAAGTTACCACCGCTGCATGCTCACCATATCTGTGACCAAAAGGATGAAAAACGCAAAAAAAGCCAAACCAAGTGAATGTATTGTGCCAAATTTCGTTCATCACCCAGCTGATTGCCATCGAATGCAACACAGACAACGCTTGCTGAGGTGTGCACCAGACGTGAGAAGACTGCTGATGCGCCAAGCAGGAAACGCTGGAGCGTGTCCGAGAGTCGGCCAAAGGTGCACAGGGCACGAATAATTCGAGCACAGTGCGAGGCTGTCGAATAATGATTGCTTTGGAATAATATGTTGCAACTGCTGCCATCGGCCGAACGACTTTCACGCACCCAGCGTGACCAACGGCTCATCACGGCCACGCACTCCGCTGATTCCACAACTTTATTCTCTGGCAGTGCTTTGATGATTTCAACCAGCTGCAACGAAATGACAAAACTCGATACCAAGGAAGGTGAAAGGAAAATCTGGGTCATCAGAAGGCTGACCGCTTTTCTTCATTCGTAACTGTTTTGAGCAATGCTGTATCATTTGATGGTTTACCTTCTACACTGGTGGATCGAGGTGAAGCGGGAGGTGTGGGAAGGTGGGGGTAAGGGAGGAGGGGGAGGTGGGAGGCGAAACACTGTTTCGCTTGTTGGTTTACCTTCTACACTGGCTGATCTAGGGGAAGAGGGTAGGCGGTACAGCCTACGATGTACGATGACCGGGGCAAAGGGGGAGGCAAGGAGAGGGGGAAAATAGCCAAAATCTCCCCCTCCCCCCCCCCCCCCCCCCCCCCCCCCC